TTCCAGGTGAGTGCCCTAACCACTGGTCTTAAAAGTTATAAGGTGGGCTATTGCTTGTTTGTGAGTCTAGCCCCCTCCCCATTATTTTTTCCTGGTAGATACTATTCAGTGAATGTGTCAATAAATAACAGGTAAATAAATATCAGGTGGGAGCTAAAAATAAAAGTAATTAGTTGCTGATAGGCAAGTGATGGAACTACAATATAAATTAATGATGGGAAAAAAGTAAGCAAAGGTTAAGAATAAATTCCTTTAAAAACAGGGATGGGTTTAAGAAATGATTTCCTGATCTCAGTAAAAGAGGTTATGACCTGAAATATGTGGTTCCATTGCCTATGTTATTTTTATCTTATGAGATGCAAGTGTGCTCCTATATGTAATTCCAAAATGAATAAAGCATAGAAGGAAGTAATTTTGAATGTAACATTATAATTAGCCTTTGGATAAATTTCCACAGCGTTATAATTAACCTTTGGAACTCTCTGCCACAACATATTACTGGAGAAAAAAAAAACTTTAGAAAACTTTCAACTATATTTTGAAATCCCATTCACTATGTTGCACATGAGTCACCCAAGACAAACTATGGGTAGGACCTGCTTGCCTCCTAGCTGTCATACAGGGCAGCTTTGCCCAGACTTTTGAAAGCTGAATCCCACTTCAAGAAAATGAAACCAATCACATCCTCTGCTGCAACCCCTCCATATGTTGATAAAGGCTTACCAATGTTCATGTATATATCTTCAACAGCTGTCCCTTCCCCTCACCCGGTCCCAGAGTTTTGGAAGCATTCGCAGGGGGTATTGTGAACTCTATACTTTCCCTGGAAGGTAAGCATTTGCCCAATTGTCCTATTTACAGGCAGCACTCAAAGTTGCCATGTTATAATAAAGTGCCTCCCACCTATCACTACCTCTCATGTATTTCTGAGGGATTTAACAGGGACTAGGCATTTCTTCTCTCTAAGGGAAGGAATTACTAGACAAAAAAATTGTGACTCAAAGACTGTTTTCTTTAAGACCCTCTCTAATTCTAACATATACTTTAACCTTCTTTTGGAAGATGCTCAATACTGAATACATGGCTGGGGAAAACTACACTACAGTGACCGAATTCATTCTCCTGGGATTCACTGATCATCCAGTGCTGCAGAGCATCATCTTCATGGTGTTTCTAGTGATCTATATCACCACGCTGGTGTGGAATCTCGGGCTGATTGTGCTAATTAGGGTCAATCCCCATCTCCACACGCCCATGTACTTCTTCCTCAGTAATTTGTCTTTTGTCGACCTCTGTCACTCCTCAGCCATCGCCCCAAAGGCAATGCAGAATTTCTTGTCAGAAAGGAAATCAATCCCTTACATGGGATGTGCTGCTCAAATGTTCTTCTTCACTACATTGATAACCACAGAATGTTTCCTCCTGGCCGTGATGGCTTATGACCGATATGTGGCTATTTGTAACCCCCTGCTCTATATGACCATCATGTCCCCAAGGGTCTGTGCCCAGCTGGTGGCTGGGTCATATATCTTGGGTGTTACTGGTGCTTCGGTTCAAACAAGCGGAGCCTTTCGATTAGCCTTCCATGGCTCCAACATCATCAATCATTTCTTCTGTGACATCCCAGCAGTCGTCAAGCTCTCCTGCTCCAGCACCTACATTTCAGAGATGGTGCTTTTCATCTTCTGTGGGGTTATTGCCCTCACAACATTTTCGATCATCCTTGTGTCCTACATTTACATCCTCACCACCATCCAGAGGATCCGCTCCACTGAGAGTAGGTGTAAAGCCTTCTCCACATGCACCTCCCATCTGACAGCCGTCACTGTGTTCTACGGGACAGCCATTTGCATTTATGGCATACCTCAATCCAAACATTTGCTTGAAGAGGGCAAAATCATCTCGGTGTTTTATACTCTGGTGATTCCCATGTTGAACCCCCTGATCTACAGCTTGAGGAACAAAGAGGTGAAGGATGCTCTGACATCAACTGTAAGAAGAAAAATACTACTGTTTAGAACCTGATTAAAAAAAAATACCCCATCAAATGGCACGGATAGACTTTTTTGACATAATTCACACTGCTTATTCAACACTTCTCTGTTAATAATATATATCTTTTAGAAATGTTTTTAATGATCAAACACTGAAAAAAAAATAGATCAAGATTTATATAAAGGTTGATCAGGAATTTTCCTTTGAAATTTTTTTCTTCAATAGAAATGTGATTCAACAGAAAAAAAAATATTGTAAGCTCATGAAGGGAGTTAATAGGAAAGAAAGAATAAAAATTGTGCATCATTATGTGGAAATTAGAACACGCAACTAGTTTGGCATAATTTGTCTTT